GGTGAGGGGCCTGGGGCCCCCACTCCGCCCTGCCCTGCAACCCCCCCCGGCTCCGCCCTGGGGTCCCCGGCCCACTCAGCCAGTATAAGGTGAGGGGCCCGGGGCCCCCGCCTACGCCCTGGGACCCCCACCCTCGGCATGGGACCCCCAGCTGGGCTCTGCGCCCCCGGCCCGGCCCCGGCTCCCTGTGGAAACGCTCTCTCTCTCTCTCTCTCTCTCCCCGCCCCAGTACATGAGGAACTGCATCGCCGTGGGGCGCCTGCCCCACCTCATGCTCATGTCCAAGGAGAGTCTGTACAGCCAGCTGCCGGCCAACGTCTTCCTGCTGCCCTCCTACGCCCGCCGGGCCGGGCCCTGCGCCCGCGCCAACGGGGACCCGCCCGCCAAGTCCCTCTGGTCCGTGCCCAGCGTGCTGCGCATCCGCGTGCTGTGTGCCACCTACGTCAACGTCAACATCCGCGACATCGACAAGGCGAGGCCAGGGCCCGGACGCCTGGGTTCTCGCCTGGCTCTGGGAGGGGAGTGGGGGCTGGGGGTTAGAGCAGAGGGGGGGCTGGGAGCCCGGACGCCTGGGTCCCCTGGCATGATGGCTTTCTCTCCCCTTTCCCAGATCTACGTGCGGACGGGGATTTACCACGGTGGGGAGCCCCTCTGCGACAACGTCAACACCCAGCGCGTTCCCTGCTCCAACCCCAGGTAGCGGGTGGGGCGGGGGCTCAGCGGGGGGCACTCTCCCTCTGCACTCTGCCCTGGCCCCAGCGCCCTGCTGCGGGGCCGCCGGGAGCAGGCTGGGGGGCTCCCCCTGCCCTGCCCGCCGCCGGAAACCCCAACCTGTGTCCCTCCCCCCCAGGTGGAATGAATGGCTCTCCTACGACATGTACCTCGCAGACCTGCCCCGCGCCGCCCGCCTCTGCCTCTCCATCTGCTCCGTCAAGGGCCGCAAGGGGACCAAAGAGGTCGGGGGACTGGCGGGCTCCGGGGGGCGGGGAAGGGGCCTGTCCCCTCTGGGGGGCGCCGGCTCCCACCCGGCCCCAGGACGGGGACTGGCTGGCTCAGGGGGGCGGGGAACGGGGCAGGGACCTGTCCCCTCTGGGGGGCGCCGGCTCCCACCCGGCCCCAGGACGGGGACTAGCTTGCTCAGGGGCGCGGAGAACGGGGCAGGGACCTGTCCCCTCTGGGGGGCGCCGGCTCCCACCCGGCCCCAGGACGGGGACTAGCT